AGTAATGGTGGGTAATACCATTTCCTTTATGGCTACAACTTAGTACACTTCACTTTTGCCTACATTTACCCGCTAAAATTTAGTTAGCTGGCTAAACTAAGTTTCAAAGCCAAAGGACCTAGTCTTAATTAGATGTATACACAACAGTAGCTAGCCTTCATAGGTTCTTGCCTTCTTGCATTCATTACTTTAAGCAATCCCCTCCAACATTCAACATGGCTGCAAGGTTTCACCTCTAACAATAAGACCACAACCTTAGCTCACCTTGTTTTGCCATGCTTTGCAGGTTTGGGAGCTAACTGACATTATGACTACAGCCAAAAAGCAGGCAACTTAGCTGGCCCTAAATTTCCAACTCATAGACACTGAATCCAAGCATGCAAGAACCTGTAATTCCAGTTTGGAAAGCTGTGATAAAATCATGAGTTCAAGGCCAGATTGAGCTTACAGCAAGCCTTTGTTTCCAAACAAACACACACACACACACACAGACAGACAGACAGACAGACAGACAGACAGACACACACACACACACAGTGGCTCTTCGGGAAAATAAATGTTTAATGTTATTTTAAGGCATCCAATAAGGGTAATTAATTTGTTCTACAGCAGCAGATAACTAAGACAAATAAGGAGAAAGAAAATGAAAGAAGAAAGAGAAAGGGAAGTGAATTTAAGGATGGAATTTTAGGTAGAATGTCCTGAGGCAGTCTTAGTCCTGAGTAAGGAGTCCTGGCATTTATAGACACTCCCTGGGGCCTCAGGTAGACCCTGCTGTGCAGCACCACTGAGGCAGAAGAAAACTAGTTACTGGCTTACCACATCAACGCTTGCACCAGTAGTTATTTGCTTATTGTTCTGATCATGTCAACACTCTTCTGTGAAAGAGGGACGGCTTAGAAAGCTAAACAAACAAAATGAAAGATAGGAACAAGTATTGAATAACTAGTTTAAATTGCTTCTAGTAGCTCACCTTATTTCATCTCACCAAAAACCCAAACTCAGCCGCAGGGAGAGTTCCCACAAAAGATGGCCCCCAAGGAACCTAGACAGAGAGCCAGCTGGAATTCCAAGGAATGGAACACGAAATGCAGGGGTGACCAATCTAAAGCGTATATCAGAGGGGCCCACTGAGGGCTGCAATGCATCCCCCAGACAGTCACAGAGAGAAGGGTCGTATTTCACCCACATGCCCACAGCAAAGTGGACAGGATAGGGAATTTGTATGAGGATCTGGGGAGTCAAGCTGGTGTAGGGGTGTTCAGGTCCTGGCTTGGGTTCCAGCTTGCTGGGAAAGTCAGCAATAGGTAATAGGTTGGACCATGATGATCTTTAATTTTCTATCACGATACAGAAAGCAAGCAACAAGAACTGGGAGACCCTGTTGCCATCTCTTAAAACATCAGGCCATGGTCCTAGAGGATTACATGGGAGCATCAAATGGGGCTTCTCCTCTGCTGCTTGTGATTGGTTGCATATGGTATAGCATACAAGGGACTGACAGAGAAATATGTTTATATCATATCCTAAAGTATAGGCTTTGGCAGTGAATTTAGTGCGTGACTTTTTCCACTGGAATGTAGTAAAAGTAAGGATATAAAAATTATTGGGATGAGAAGTTATAATTGTTTAGAGATTCCTTTTACAACTCCTTCCAAAGGTATTTCTGGTTACTTAGCTGTTGCAGCTGACCTGCAAAGGTCACTCTGTTCTTGTGGCTGCCGTGCAGGGACATTGCACTGGTGAGATGGGTTTTGTAGCATGATATTGTGAAAAGTGAAAGTGGACCCACAATGCCCTAAATCCCCTGTGGTTTCAATAAATTAGCTTAGTGATCATGCAGGGGGGAAAACCCTAGGAAAGTAGTCCAGCTGGCAGATGGCAGCATTAGAGGTCAGATGGCAGCATTAGAGGTCAGATGGCAGCATTAGAGGTCAGATGGTCTGAGTATTCATTTTAGATTAAGAATGCCTAGCAGATTTGTCTCCAACCCTCATACATTCACAGAGTCGGCCATGAAACACAGTTGAGACCAAAACAAAATCAGCATTTTTCTGTTTTCTAGTTGTGTTTATCCAAAGTGTTTTTTTTTCTGGCACACACACACCATCACCATCATCATCATCTAATTCAAATGTCTTTCTGGGCATGTGATGTCAATGTGTACTTTTAAAGCTGATGGGAGGCAAGCACCAGTCCAACATATAAATAGTACATGGTTTGGTTTATAAACAGTAAGTCATAAACAGTAATGGGTAGCTTTGTGCCTGAGCACCATCAACAATCCTTTCTTGAAATCAGATGTCAAATTCTGACTGAAGTGCTGAGCTGTGTTCTAAAGAGATGACTGAAACCAGAATTTTAAGAATTTTCAGCAAGTCCCCATTATTGGGGGATGGAGAGATGGCTCAGGAGGTAAAGTATTTGTTGTGCAAGCATCAGACCTGAGTTCTGATATCTATCACCATGTAAAAACCCCGGTTCTGGGAAACAAAGACAGTAGGATCCCTGGGTCTTGCTAGTCAGCCAGTCTAGTCAATTGGTAAGTTCCTGTGAGAAACCCAGTCTCAAAAACTTACATGAAGAGACTGAGAAGATGACTCAGTATATTTGCTGAGCAGTCATAAGGACTGGAGTTCAGATCTCAACAGTCACATAACCAGTTGGGTACCCCATGCATACCTAAACTCCAGCCCTGAGAAAGGAAGATCACTGCAGCTTCCTGGCTTCAAGCTTATAAAATACAAGCCCCAGGTTCAGGGAGAGACTCTGCTTCAAAGGAATCTGTTTAGAGTGATAGAGGAAGACTTCGATGTCTCTTCACTTCTGCACGTGCTCAGAGGTATACACCAGTGCACACCCTCACACAAATACATACACACAAATAATAAATCTTTTAAAAATGAGAAGCAATTGAGGAAGACAGCCAGTGTCAAACACACACACACACACACACACACACGAGCACGCAAGCACACACATACACATTCATAAGTACATACACATTCATAAGTACATATATACACATACACTGGAAAATAAAATAAATCTTTTTAAAGAAATGTTTGTTCTTCAATTTTTGCAATGGTGAGCAAAGCTCAGGGTTATTGTATAACACTTGACTTTTATACATGCATTTATATTCATAGTTAATGGGCTATGTCTCTGAGTCAGATATTTTGAGGCGTTTTTACTGTATTGTGCTAATTCAAAAAAGGCTCAAATATAATTCAGTAAACATTTTTGTTTTATCTGGTTAGTTACTTTTAGGACAACATCCAGGGAGGAGGTGAGGGGGTTAAGATATATAGTAACATCATATAAAAGTGTGTGCATAAAAAACCCGAGATAGAATTTCTTAAATTTTTCACTAGGGGGGCTGGAAAATGGTTCAGAAGTTTTAAGAACATGCACTGCTCTTGCAGGGGATACAAATTGGGTACCCAGAACCCATGTTACGATGGTCTTTAACTACAGCCCCAGGAAACATGACATCTCTGATCTTCATGGGAACCCACACTCATATGCAAACACACACACACACACACTTAAAATCATAAAAATAAATCTTTTATAAATATAAAATAAATCTGTTTCACTCGATCTTTCAGAATTTTCAAGTCAGAAGATCGTACACATAGAAGCTAAAGTTAACAGAAAGCAATCCAAGAGCATCTATTCACTTCTAGGGCTGCCACAGCCTAATTCCACAAGTTAAATGGTTTAAAACAACAGACATTTACTCTTTCTGTTCTGGAGGCTGCAAGTTGAAAGACCAAGGGGCTGGCAGGTTTGGAATGAGCGACGTCCTAATTCCCATCTTGTTTATAAATCTTTGTTTTCATTTAAAGGGGTTGTTTATAATTGGTTAATGATCACAACCAATCTCTTTTTAATGGTAAAAAGGGGAATTATGGTATGGGTATTGTTTTTCATTTATTGATACAAATTCAAGGTCAATTTTGCGATGTGTATATTTCTCCTCTTGATTAAGTATTGTACTTATACTGATCTTTTAAAATGTAATGCGTAATTAAATACAGATTATAGATAGTTACTTATAATAGTCAAAATTTATAGTTAGGTAAGTTAGGTTTTCTAGATAAATGGAGATGTATTTGAGACAGACAGATAGTCTTCAAACCTCTCAAAGACCTTCAGAAAAATGGCATTTAAAATGGTTTAGGGTTTTTCTTGACAATGAGAAATGTCTGCTCCTGGCAGCACCAATTATGTCTGAGAGGAAGATGGGCATCGAAGAAACTCATTATGGAGTTTGCTTTCAACATGGCAAGATTAGCCATTTGGGCAAGAAACTGCTCTTGCCTAGACTGCTTGACTATTGCTGTATAATCTGGACATGCAGGACCCACAGGAAAGTAACTGCTGAACTCAGTCTTACAGGGTTCCTGCTTCATGGAAGAGTATACAAGACTTTCTGCAGGACACAGAGAAATGACTGACAGACTGCCAATGCAGATGGACAGTTTGAAATTACCTGCTATCCTGAGAAATCTTCTGGACACATTGTGGCCTATGGGCTGAAGATGGATGCCCCTATAATACAGAGGAACTTCGGGTGACTGTTCAGGCAGTAAGATATCTCTGTCAATCCTAGTGTTTATATATTGTCCTTCTGTGGTCTTTGATGGAGTTGAAGACAGATAGTTATAATTATAGTTTTCCTTAGTTATGATAAAAGATAAGCTACATATAGAACTTTAGACTCACAAGGATGGGATGGATGATATTTTCTTTAAATCTTGCTGAATGTTGATAGACAAAATATTGTAACTGTATTCTTACTTGATAACTGTTCTGTTATATATGATTTGACTATGTTAAATTTAAGACCTTTCTTTTTGTTTAAACAGAAAAGAGGAGATGTTGGGGAAGTCCTGTTATTTGCCTGTTATTTGTCAATAAAGCACTGTCTGGCCTATAGGGAATCTAGATAGGAGGGACTAGGAGTCCAGGAGGACTCTGGGAAGGAGAAACACAAGAGAGTCAAGATGTAATGCCATGGGGGTAGGAAGCCCGGAACCATTCTCCGGTAAGAGAAATACTTAGATTAACAATTATGGGGTAATTACTTATGTCAGAGGTAGCCAGTAAGAAACAAGCAAGGCCAACAGCTTCATAATTAATATAGCCTCCTGTGTGTTTATTTGGGGACTCCAACGCGGCAGAGCCCAGGCGGCTGGCGGGGGATAAACCAAAGCAGCTAGCAAAGAAAAAGCTTCTCGTTACAGGCAGGGTTGTCGCTTCCTGGGATAGCTGTCTCTTCCTGGGATAGCTTCTGCCATTTGCCAGAAATCCTCGGGTTTTCTGGTTTGCAGCAATATCACAGTAGACTCTCTCTCTACAATTGCAGCACTTCCTCTCTGTGTCTACTTCCATCCCTCCCTCCTTATAAAAGCTCAGATCCAGGCAGTGTGACTTCAGCTAATTTAATGGTTGCATCTGCATACTCTTCTTCTCCAAATATAGCACCTCCAAAGTCATAAATCCAAACCTCCAGGCAGCCGGACCTGATGAGCCCAAGGAGGGTTCTCCTTCTTCCGGAAATGTTTTAGTGTGGTTATCCTATGGATCCGAGATACTTTGGTCTAAATTTCACAATAATCAGGTCAATCAGAGCCTATGTATAAAAAAAATCAAGAAATTACCCAGTGATACACATTCCCACCTAATACATGAAACTCTACTCAAATTTTTCCAGTGTCCCAATAAAGGATTCATAAACAAAAAGGGAAGATCTTCCCAGCCCCCAACCTTCATGCTCTAGGATTTGATTCTGAACTATTTAATTGTCGGGCTTCTTTGATCCCTTTCAAGCTAGGAAAAAAAAAACCAGCTTTCCTATTTATAATGATTTTTGAAGAACACAGGCCAATGACTTTGCAGAGTGCCATTTAATTTGCCTTTGTCTGCTGCTTCATCAAGATTCAAACAAAGCTATGCATTTTGGCAGGGATCCTGTAGAAGGATGCTGTGTTTCTCTCAGTGTATCACGTTGGGAAATGCATGGTGACGGCTTGTCCTGTTATTGGCAGTGTAGACTATAATCACTTGGTTTAAGATGACACATGCTGAGTTTCTCCACTGTGTGTCTTTTAAATAATTAATACACAGTTGATAAGCAATTTGTGGGGAGATACTTTGAGGCTATGCAAACATCCAGCTCCTCACTGGTTTTAGCATCCATGGTATTTTTTTGCCTGAATAATTTATGAATATGAAATAGTGATTTCAGACTCCATCATTCCTTCTACATTAACTAGTGTTCTCTTTGAGAATAGCCCTTTTCATTTGTTTATACAAATAGTGACTCATGGATCCTTATTTTATTCGATGGGTTCTAATACATTACTGTTGTTTCTGGGATTTTACTCTGGACTCCCTTCAGTTCCCTGGTCATTGTTCATCTCTGTTGAATTAATTCATACAGGACACCCAGAGAAGTCAGACAGCATTATAACTCAGAGATTATTAAAGTGAGGAATTCTCAAGGGTGAGAGTGCTCAGTGGCTAAAGCAACATGATGCCAAGCTAAGAATTTCAGGTAGGTTTTATATGACGCCTTAAAGCTTCTGGAAAGTGTTTTCTTGCCCAGGAGATTGACAGTCGTAATTGTGACAACTGTATTTAAGGCTTACTTTTATGTGTATGTGTGTGTGTGTGTGTGTGTGTGTGTGTGTGTGTGTGTGTGTGTGTGTGCCTGTGAGCACATTCAAGTCCTCTTCAGTGATCTGAACCACTGAGACGTCTCTCTAGTTTCTCCAGTGCCTCATTTGGATTAACTCATGAGATGTGGACAGTGACATGCCTTTGTTCTTTACTAAATAGTGGGCCGTTTAGAATGCCACAACTCTACCAATAATCAAAGTTATAACTCAGATCTCATTCTTTCAGAGACCTGTTGCTGATAGGAGTGAACTCCACCTTCAACAGTTAAGTGTTCAGAAACACTATTCTTCTTTTCCCTGTCACACTTGGCCAGCGACAGCCCTTTCTTGCTGCCTTCTACATCCTTCTATGTTTGTTTGAGCATGCCCTTACTTTCTGATACAGTAAGATGTCCCAGATTTAAGTTTTCCCTGCCCTAGACTGAGCCATATTTTATATCATGGAGAAACAGTATTTGGGAACCATGACTTAGGTACTGAGCATACACATATTTTTTGTCCTTGAGTGTCATTGCTTCTGAGCTTTTTCTGGAAGATATGCATAGGAAATATGTGTATGCATATACATATACAAGTAAGCATAAATATGTATAGGAAATATGTGTATGCAAATACATATACAAGTAAGCATATATGTATATATATATACATATCTTCAATCCTATATTTAGTTATCCAATAGATAACTTTTGGTCTATATAGGCAAATAGGTAATACAGAATTGTAAAGGCTGCCTTCCCTAAGATCTGTTTCCAGTTATTTAATCAAACATTAATGTAGGTACCACTACACGGGGATTTTTGTAAGCATAATTAAACTCCTAAATTTACTTATTCATGAATTTATTATTTATTTGTTTATTTATTTACTCATTTTCCAGGCAAGGTCTTGACTTCCAGCCCCAGCACTCCTTCTTGTGCCAGCAGGCCTGGCTTCCTTTGACCCTGAGAGACACTATTCAGATAGGCACAGGTTACTTAAATTCTTTAAAAACAGTTCTTGTCTTCAGGGAGCAGAAGCAGAAGTCTGTTTTTTGAAACACAAGAGATATAATGTGCTGTTGCTGGCCAGAAAGGGGACACAAGTCGCTTGTAATGGCCTCAACTGATAGCCAGAAGGAAATCACAGGTCTCAGTCAGTCCCACAACCAAATGAATGCTGGCAATAATTTGGATGAATTATTTTGAGGATCTTTACCAAGCCTGCCAGACAGGCAGTCTTACAGACACCTTGACTTCAGCCCCAGGGTTCTCTGTACATTGTAGCATGAAAAATAAAGGACCCGGAGACAGATACTGGGGTTCAAGCCTTAATCTGAAGACCAGAGAAGCTGATTACCAAGACGAAATAGCAATCCTGTCTCCACAAGTCCTCAGAGGCAAAAGGCTCTGAATTCCTGCCTCCTCCTTCTTATATTCCTCTCTGTGTCCAGCCATATCCTCCTGTCTCTGCCTCCCTAGTTATGGGATTAAAGGTGTGTGATCCCAAGCACTTAGATCAACTTTGTATGAGCTGTTTCAGTTAGGACTGGATCGATTTCATGTAGCCAGTGAGGCCTTGAACTAACAGAGGTCTGTCTACCTCTTAATCCAGAGTCCTAGGATTAAAGGTGTGTACCACCACTGCCTGATCTCTATGTCTTGCTGCTGGCTTTGCTTTCTGAATCCTCAGGCAAGCTTTAATAAATCATCAATAAAATATCACCACAGTACACAGAGCCCCGCTAAGCTCCTTTGGATTCTACAAAGTCTGAGTGTTACACAGCTTTCTACAGCAGCACTAGAAAAACAAATACAGACATTGATGCAAATATAATATAATTTAAATTTCCCCTTGCAGACACATGTTATTCATAAAGAGCCCTGTGATACCAGATATTATTATCAACTTAACAGACTCTAAAATCACCTAAAATACAAGTTTGTAGGTATGCTTATAAGGGGTTATCTACTTAGGTTTACACCTAGGCCAATCTGTAAGAGATCTTAATTGAGGTGGGGAAACCTTCCCTCAGTAGGTAGTTCTACTCAGATTGAATAAAAAGGAATAAATCAAACTGAAGTAGCATTTACTTGTCACTGCTTCCTGGCTGTGGATACAATGTGAAAGCTGTCCCAGGCTTTTTTCCCCATGACCTTCCTACCAGGATCCCGTGTACCCTGAACCTGTAGCTAAAATAAACCCTTTCTTGTTAGATGTTTTGTTTTGTCACAGAAACAAGTAACTAATGCAACCATCCAAGCATTTTTCAACCATATCCAACTTTATGATTGTAAGGTGGGATAGAGAAATGGGTGTCGTGGGTGCCAGAGGAATTAGAATTTGGGAATTGGGATTTGGAAATTGGAATCTGTAGCCCACTTGTCTCCCAGAAGGGGAGAGACACTGAAGACTGAGTTCAGTCACCAAGGGCTAAGGATTTACTCTGCCACGCCTATGTAACTTCTATTATACACCCTAAACAATGGGGTTTGAGGAGTTTCTAGGCTCAGGAATACAGCAAAGAGCTGAACTGGCTTGGAAACTCCCCATCCCCACATTCCTGACCGTTGCTCTCTGAATATCTTCCATATGGATATGCTTCAGCTGTGGCCTTTATAATAAGCTAGTAATGATAAACAAAAAGTTTCACTGAGTTGTGAGAGTCTTTATAGCAAATTATGAAATTGGAGAAGGAGGTCATAGAACCTGCCCCCTCCCTGTTTGTAGCCAGTCAGTCAGAAGTACAGATGGTACCCTGGAAATCCGCAATCGGTGTCTGAAGTGGGGACAACCCTGTGGGACCAAATTCTTAACCTGTGGGTCTGTACTAATTCTGCTAATTCTAGGATAATTAGTGTCAGAATTGGATTATAGAACACAGTTGATGTCCAGAGGATTGGAAAATCAGTTGGTATGAGACAAACTCTCACACGTGATATCAAAAGAGTATGTATAGAGAGAGCAACCCTTGTGTTTATTTAAGCACATATCTCCCTCATGTTTCTTTTTTAGCCAGATGTTGTAAAGGAAAATATTCGACTTAGGAAATGTAAAACATAATCATTTTTAATTATAGACACAGCATACATAGAACTTGTTTTGCTATCTATTAGGGAAATATCTCCTCCCACAACTGTAAATGTGGCTGAGAGACAAGGACAAAATAATTATATATTCACCTCTGCCTTTCAATGAAGACAGAAAGAGCTTTCCATTTCAGATTTGTTTTGTTTTGTACCACATGTGGGTTAATTAGATAAAACCATGTCATGTGCCAGTTTCAATCAGCCTGAAAATAATCAGAAAACCAGGTTTGGCATAGTTTATGCTGTTTTGGCTCAGACAAACAAAGCACAAAATGCAAATTGGCTCCAGAAAACAACGCGTGTGTGCTGCTGCCAGCTTTTCTGCCAAGGGATTATCTGTAGTTGGCACCCAAGCAGCTGATACTGCTCCAGGTGACCATTAGGCAACTATGAGGTACAGATACCCATTTTCTCCCATTACAGCATGGCCATCTCCACAAAGGGCACTTGCAAGGTTTTTGCTGGGTTTTTCCCCTACCGACTTCCTTTGCATTCATTTCTTGTGTTTTTAAAAAATTCCATGTAAGATTATCCCTGAAACCATCCCATAGCTATATATCCTTGTTATATCCACTTCTTTCAAACAGCAAGGAGATTCACTGTCTTCCTACATTAATATGGAATCAACAGTATTCCAGGAGGTAACTATTTTAGCAAGTATCCCAGAAATATGAGGAGGAGTGATCATTTTTAAATTAAATCCAGTCCAGTTAACTAACTTCTTTCATTTATTATTGCACATTTTTCTGTGTAAGTGGTGTGGGTTTGATACACAAAGGAGTATGACTGCACATCATCATGTGTTGTGGTTTGGATATGACACTCCTGTCAGTCTTATGTGTTAAGGGGTTGGTTGCCAGCTGACAGAACTTTACTGGTTGTTTGGATCATGAAAGCTCTTAATTCATCAATGGGTTAATTCTTATGGTGAGTTCATGTTAGAAGGTGGGTCCTATTTGGAGAGAAAAATCACTGAGGATGAGCTATTGAAGGATAGATCTTATCTCTAGATCTGACCCCCTCTCTTTTTCTGTCTCTGTCTCTCTTCTCCCCCTTTCTGTCTCTCTGTCTGTTGTCTGCCTGTCTGTCTCTCTCTCCCTCCCTGACTTCCTCCCTTCCCCCTCTCTCTTTCTGTCTCTGTCTGTTGTCTGCCTCTCTCTCTCCCTCTCTCCCATCCTCCCTCCCTCTCACACACACACACTCCCTCCCTCCATCCCCCTCTCCTTTCTGGCTACAGTGAGGTGAGCAGCTCTGATCCCCCACATGCTTCCTGACTTGCTGGTCTATCTCCTCACAGTCCAAGAACAACAGAGCTAAGGGACCGAGGACCGAAACCTTGGAGTTGTGAGCCAGAATAACCCCTCCCCCTTTTAAGTTGTTATTCTTGGGCACTTTTTGTTAGTGACAAAATGCTAGCTAACACAATAGTCCCACCTGGACTCAATGTTATTTGATGGATAAGATGAACCCTAAATGCCTTTGCTTATTATGTAAGGTTGTTTGATATCTGGCCTTTGGTAACTTGTCTACCTCATCCATCTGAATTGTCTTCTTTATGATTTAAGCTTTGGAGGAACAGAACAATTTGTGGTACTGTTCATATACAATGCTTTCATATACTACATGCCTCCGAGTCTGCCTCTTCCTATAATTGGTGGGGGAAGTCTTTCTGTGTATACGTAAATAAAGCACTGTTGGCCAATAGGGAAGCAAGATAGGTGGGACTAGGAGTCGAGGAGGATTCTGGGAAACAGAGGCATAGCAGCCACGATGTAGGACATGGGAGAAGTCCGGAAACTTTTTCCAGTAAGAGACATGGAAATACTCAGATTAGCAATTAAGTCAGAGCTAATTGATAAGAAATCATAGCAAACGGCCCACAACTTCATAATTAATATAGTGTCTTGTGTGTTATTTGGGGGCAGCTGGCAGGAAGACTACACGTTATACTATAATGAATCATGTCTGATTCTAGCCCTTCAGAGTCTTAGTTTTAGATTTTCTTACTCCTTCCTTGGATAGTCCTCTTCCATTACACTCCATCGAGTAGTACATACAGCCTCTTTGCTGAGCAGACCCAGATAGTGTTTGATGGGTAAATTGAGACAAACATTTACATCACAATACTAATGATAAACACTTTGCACATTATTTTTAAATATATATGTAAACAACCCTCCCATTTTTTCTTTCCTTTATCACCATCTGAGGACAGTCTTAGACATTTCTTTTCCTTTTTGACCAGAGTCTCTTGTAACTCAGGAGTGGCCTGAAACTGGCTATGTAGTTGAAGATGACCTTGAACTCCTGATCCTCCTGCCTGAACCTCTTTAGTGCTAGAAGCACAGCTATGCACCACAATGCCCAGTTTATGTGGTTCTGGGGATCAAACCCAGGGCTCCATGCATGCTGGGCAAGCACTCTACCAACTGAACTGCAAACCCAGATAGTTTTCCTTTTACTAAAAATCCCCCCACCAAAGCTGTGAAAGCATGACATGACAGACACTTTGTACACCCACTCCTGTGCTCTCTATTTGTCTGGAGAGTGAAATAATGCCTTTTACATTGAAGTGGGTCCCAGATTTAGTTCTACCTCAGGTACACTCACAATGATGACAATGTATCCTTTAGGGCTTCTTATTTGCTTTTCTTTAAAATGAAGAGGAAGCAAGATCTTAATGCAAAACTGAGTATGGAATCACATCTAATTTTCAAATTGAATTTTTTTTCATTTCTTTCTTTGGATCCACACTGCTTAGTAGCTTTTGAGAAGTGTGTGTGTGTGTGTGTGTGTGTGTGTGTGTGTGTGTGTGTAGAGAGGGTTTTCATGCACATTGTCATTCACATCTGGAGGCTAGAGGTTAGTGTTGCATGAGGAGTTTTTCTCTATTGCTTTCAATGTTGTTTGTTTTCTTCTTTTAAAAAGGCAGTATGGTAGTTTGGATGAGAACGGTTCCCATTGATTCAAGTGTTGGAATATCTGACCCCTAGTTGGTGGAACTGCAAGGGAAGGATTAAGAGGTGTGGCCTTGTTGGAAGAGGTGTGCCACTTGTGGATGGGCTTTGAGATTTTCAAAGATTGCCACCATTCTCAGTGTGAATCTCTGCTTCCTACATGCAGTTCAAGACGTTCATTCCCCATGGCTAACCCTCTGAAACTGTAAGACAATTACATGCTTTCTTTTTTTAAATTGCTCTGGTGGCTATTCTTGGTTGCCAACTTGACTATATCTGAGCGGCTGGCAAAGAAAAAGCTTCTCTTAACAAAATGGTTGTCAGGAGTGGGGTCATGAATTTCCACGCAAAATAACAAAAGCTTTAAAGGAATTTTAGAAACAGAAGAACGGAGAGAAGCACAGATTTTTGGTAGTAGCATTTTTCTCAGGTGTGCTCTGTTTTGCTAGCGACAAGCCGAGATTCACACGGCTCGCTTACGGGAGTCTTCCTGACTCGGCATAAAAAGAAAGAAGAAGAAAAAAAAGCCAGCAAGGTTGTTTTAAGAGACTCTGCTAACGATTGAAAGATGTGTACATACAGCTGGAAGTGGCAGCATTTGCTGGATGTCAGCATGGACTGAGGCGGTAATCTGGAATCATGCTTACGCCCGCCATCTTGAAACAGCAGTTTAAAACAGCCGCGGTTTTACAGATAAGACACGTGGCCAGAAAAACATAAAGATTTACAGTAAAGTCAGACTTGGATGAAGAAAAACCTCTAAAGGTTTACAGTGTGTTTAAAAAATATACGTGAGATTGAGAGAGAAAATCAAACGGCAAAGTGGTAAATAAATACAAAAGCTGGCTGTGGTGGCGCACGCCGGTAGGAATTGCTCCAGAGGCAGAGGCAGGCAGGTTTCCAAAGAGAAACCCTGTCTCAGAGAAAAATAAATAAAAGTGAAAGAAATAAAGTATTAATAGATAAATAAATAAGCCACGTAAAGATGGAAAATACACAGAGAGTCTGGATACTGTACGCTATTATGTTTTTCAGTTTTTTGATTGCTAAGGAAGGAACAAATGCTAAAGTACACTTGATTATAAATGCTGCTGAATTAATCCAACTTCTATCTTTTGAAAATGCCTTGACTTCAAAATTTAAGTACAAGGATATGTTACTCGGAAAAGGAGTTTTAATTTATGTTTCCACAGAACATAAAAAGCTGAGGATTTCTTCCAGACTTCTGTGGTTTGACGAACCAAGACCCCCGGAAGCAGTGGACTAGGTGTTCCAACTATTGAGACAGCTAAGATGATGCAGCTTTACAGACCCCGAAAATACGGACTTATACAGGTTTCTGAGTTTTGTCATGATCCCCATGGTATGAACAGCGCCCCCTTCCAGCAGGAAGCAGTTTGGAATGAGCGACATCCTAATTCCCATCTTGTTTATAAATCTTTGTTTTCATTTAAATGGGATTGTTTATAATTGGCTAGTGATCACAGCCAATCCTTTTAATGGTAAAAAAGGGAATTATGATATAGGTATTGTTTTTCATTTATTGATACAAATTCAAGGTCAATTTTGTGATATGTATATTTCTCCTCTTGATTAAGTATTGTGCTTATACTGATCTTTTAAAATGTAATGCGTAATTAAATACAGATTATAGATAGTTACTTATAATAGTCAGAATTTATAGTTAGGTAAGTTAGGTTTTCTAGATATACAGAAAAATATTTGAGATAGATAAACAGTCTTCAAACCTCTCAAAGACCTTCAGAAAATGGCATTTAAAATGGTTTAGGGTTTTTCTTGACAATGAGAAATGTCTGCTCCTGGCAGCACCAATTACGTCTGAGAGGAAGATGGGCATCGAAGAAACTTGTTATGGAGTTTGCTTTCAACATGGCAAGATTAGCCATTTGGGCAAGAAACTGCTCTTGCCTGTACTGCTTGACTGTTGTTGTATAATCTGGACATGCAGGACCCACAGGAAAGTGACTGCTGAACTCAGTCTTACAGGGTTCCTGCTTCATGGAAGAGTCTATGAGACATTCTGCAGGACACAGAAAAATGACTGACAGACTGCCAATGCAGATGGATGGTTTGAAATTTCCTGCTTTGCTGAGAAGTGTTCCAGACACATTGTGGCCTATGGGCTGAAGATGGATGCCCCAACGCTACAGAGGAACTTCGGGTGACTGTCCAGGCAGTAAGATATCTCTGTCAATCCTAGTGTTTATATATTATCCTTCTGTGGTCTTTGATGGAGTTGAAGACAGATAGTTATAATTATAGTTTTCCTTAGTTATGATAAAAGATAAGCTACATATAGGACTTTAGACTCACAAGGATGGGATGGATGATATTTTCTTTAGATCTTGCTAAATGTTAACAGACAAAATGTTGTAACTGTGTTCTTACTTGATAACTGTTCTGTCATATACAATGACTATGTTAAAATTAAGACCTTTCTTTTGTTTAAACAGAAAAGAGGAGATGTTGGGGAAGTCCTGTTATTTGCCTGTGCATTTGTCAATAAAGTACTGTCTGGCCAATAGAAAACCTAGATAGGAAGGACTAGGAGTCGAGGAGGATTCTGGGAAGGGGAAACACAAGAGAGTCAACAGGTGACGCCATGGGGGTAGGATGCCGGGAACTATTCTCCGGTAAGAAACATACTTAGATTAACAATTATGGGGTAATTACTTAAGGCAGAGCTAGCCAGTAAGAGACAAACAAGGCCAACAGCTTCATAATTAATATAGCCTCCGGTGTGTTTATTTGGGACTGATGTGAATCTAGAACCAGGCTGGAGCGGCAGAGCCCAGGTGACTGGCGGGGGATAAACCAAAGTGGCTAGCAAAGAAAAAGCTTCTCTTAACATATCTGGAATGAACTACAGTCCAGAAATGGAGGGCACACCTGTGAGAGATATTCTGCTTGGTTTGAAGTCGGTGAATCCACTAGACCTTTGAGGTAGGCAGACACATGTCTGATCCAGATCTTAGGGTAGAAGAGACAGGTTTTGATCCAGATCTTGAGGTGGGAAGCCAAGCCTTTAATCTCAGCTGCACCTTTTGCTGGAAGCCTATGTAGAGGGACATAGAAGACAGAAGGTTTTGTTTTTGCTTGCTTCACCTCTCACCTTGTTGGCACATCCATTCCTTCATTGGCTTTAAGACCTACTTCTTCAGGATTCCAGAATATTCTGAAGACCAGCTGAGACACCTGGCCTTGTGGGACTCAGTAACTATTAGATTCTTTGACTTTCCATTCCCATCTAGCCACTGTTCAACTAGTTAGGCTGCAGCCTGTAAGTCATTCCAAAATATATATGGAGAGAGAGATTGATTCATCTCATAAGTTCTGTGACTCTAGAGAACTCTGACAAATACGATTGTCTTCATCAAGATAGTTTGCCACAACAATAAAAGAGAAACTAAGACACACAGGATGCAGGCTCATTTTATCTCTAAATAATTTTTTGGGAGATCCAAGGGACATCCTCCAAAAACAGTATAGGTTACTGCCATCCCCCTTGGTTACCTGCCAGACTTGTTGCTGAAGAAGAGGTTATAGATTTGAGAGGGTTGGGGATTTGGAATATGCACACATGAAATTTTAAAAGAATTTTAAAAATTAAAAAAAGAAATAGTAACACCTTTGAAGAATTTACTAGATTCCAGGCAATTAGTTAATTAAGCTCCCTTTAGTTGTGAGAAATACCAAAGAGAAACATTTTAAATGGAAGAAGAAATTGGCTTAGTGCATGGTTTCAATGGCTTCTTTTTTGTTATTGTTGGCTGGGCACAATGCTGTAGGCCTGTAATGATGAAGAACAAGTACGAGCTTATGTTAGAAGAGGCTGCTCATCTCCCAGTAGTCAAGAGGCAGAGAGAACCAGACAGGCCCCACATATGACATAATCCCAGAGGACCCAATGCCGTGGCCTACTTCCACCAACTAGGCCCTACCTCTGAGAATGTCCAACACCTCCCAATAATACAATCAAATTGTAGATCCATCAGTGGATTAGTTCAGTGCCTTCCTGATCCATTGGTCAACCGGAACCAAGTCTTCCATTTGTAAGCCTTTTGGAAGGGCACGTAGCACCCAACCTATAATAGTCATCATTGTAAGACAGTTACAAAGCTAACTCATTTACTGCACACAGGGGAGGTGATACTGCTTATCAGCTTTACTGATAAGGAAACTGACAGTCCTGAAAGTCCTAACAAAATTTTAGACTTCCTTTTACTGAAATGTTTCTAAAATATATACCAATCTCTGCCTTTGTTTTACAAGGTCCATAGTATGTCTTTGAGGTGGTATAAGTAATTTAAAAATAGACATTTAATACACCTCTTTGTAGTGGCTTATTGTTCGGCCAATAGAATTGAAGTAACAGCCTTAGGGTGTGGCTTCAGTGTGTGGCTGTGATCCCTTGTAAGGAAGAAGGGGGCCTTGCTTGGGCTCTCTTTTGGGTTGTGGTCTGAGCAGCCTGCATCACAGATCCTGTGCCTCCAGGGGCAGAAGACCACAGAGGCTATTTACCTTCATCATGTGAGTGCTCCCTAAATAAATATCTGTTGTTCCTTTATTTGGGCGTTGGAGGACTTCCTGGATCCTTCTATCAGCTCTCTTTTTATTTCACAAAACAACATTTATCTTCATTCTCAAGGAAGCCAGAAAAGTGAGTCTAGCTAAACCAAGAAACGATCCTTAGGGGGCAAGGAAGGGATTTCACTGCTTTTGTTTTTATCTTTATTTGCAGGTAAGGTTGAGCCTGCTGATGAACCAAAGGCAGAGGGCTAATAGTCACTGGGGATGAGATTTCTCTTAAATGCTGGCCACTTTTGTAGAAGTAGACAACCAAGGCAACAATGTCAGGGAGTTCAGTAAAGTCTATAAGCAGCCAGTAATCTACTCTCAAAAATCTGACCTGAAACGCAACCTGCTTCTACCCTCCTTATGGTTCTCTCCTCTGCTTTATTCTCCACCCAGCCCCCTGCTTTCCCGGCTTCTGCTTTGGAAGCTCCCTCTCTTGAGCAGGTGCACTCTTCTAAAAATGAGCTGGCTCACATGGGTCTTGCTCTAATTGCTTGTTTGCTCCAGGCTAGCAGCCTATGACTGTTAGGGTCCAGCTGCTAGGATACACCATTAGCCTCCCTGAGACTATAAACCCCAAAGACTTGGAGACCTTATTTGCTTAATTGATGCTAAAGGCACAATACCCCAGTACTGTGTCTAAAACTTGACATATGCTCAACAGTATTTATTGAATAAATTGAACAAATGGATGATGAACGAGTGATATGTAGGCTCCAATCCAACTCATTTGTTTTGCTCACAAATAATCGGGCATTGGCTTAATAAAAAAAATAATGTTTCTAAGAGTCTTGCAGTATTTTTAATCCAATATTACACAACACCCTTTTCAGTGGAATTTATGGCCCTTTTCTTCTTCAAACTAAAACAAAACAAATAACCATGTTCTTTACCGAACCATCTCAAAGGCTGAGCCTCCAAGGAAACATTGGTGGTTGCTGCTGTTCCTTTCTGTAAATGCTAATGTTGTCGCTTTTGCCTCTTTTTGCAGCTAATCCAGCATGCGTGTGCTCCGGCATACATTACTAGCACAGTGTTGGTATAATCCTTCTGGATTGTAAATTCCTTCAGGCCCTAAGCATACCCATAATATTAACTACATAGATACATTAATAGGTTCTTAAAACTTTTAATTCAAGAATAGGAAAAAAATTTGTTAGTTGGTTTGCAAAGTATATAAAGGGCAAAACAGCAGCCAAGTCGGCACAGGGGTTAGAAAACGAATTAACTTAAGTAATTGTCTAATATTTGTTTCAAAGAGCTTGACCTAAAAGTTAATAATAAAGTAAATCTTTATATGTTCAAATTAACCCAAAATCATCGGCAGTGAGTGCAAGCTACTCACTCGATTGCCAGTTTCTCCCCAGTAATTTCACTTACATGTAAACTCATACTCTTTTCTGTCTGGGAAGGTCGAGTTAGGAAGCCACAGGCATGTCTCTACTCCCAAGCGCCACCATGGGACCGAGGCTTCTCTCCCAGCCAGGTTTTAGAGGAACTCAAGGTAGACTCAACAAGTCCCACCCCCAACCCCAGACTTGGTGGGTATGGTGGAAGTGGACACAAGTCTAACCCCCGGAGAGCCTTCAAAATAAACAAGCAAATAAAAGTAAACAAGATAGGGCATTGACGGGACAAGTTGCTCGGAGACAAAAATGGGAACCAGATCTTCTGCAGTCAGGTCGCCTCCAACACAGCAGACCATTTACTCGGAGCGCGAAGTTAGCCCGCACGCACTAGTTTGTCCCTACGGTCGCCTCGTAGACTGGTAGCAACGCAGCGCGTCCTTGGGGACAGCCGCACTGCTATGGCTACCGGTGGCGGCGTGGCCTCCAGAGAGGGGCTGCGCTACGCCGAATACCTGCCCCCCTCCACCGGAAAGCCGGACGCCGACATCGACCACGCGGCGGTGAGTCTGCGGGCGCCCCCAGATTTCCGCGGCTCTCCGCGCTCCTCTCTCCTCCGAATGACGCACGGGCCACACCGCAGGCCCGGCACATCCTCGGAAGAGTCTACGGGACCCCGGGGCAGCCTGGAGGGGGCCTGCCGGGCCCGGGACCTCTTTGGGGAAGTAGTTAAGAACCCTGAGGACAGTTAGTACCCAGCGGAGGGAAGAGGGAGAGAGGCTTCTCTCGCGTCCCCCCCACATCTGGGTCCAGACAGAAAGTGCACACAGTTGATTCAGGCTGAAAGGAAGAAGCAGGTTCTTTCCGTTTAACCGGGGAATGGAACTCAAGTCGGCCAGCAGCACCTCTACCGGCTGTGTCACCCCGCCGGTTTCCACCTGTAGGAGTGTATACAATTCAGGACGCAAGTGAGGAGGTCTCTTCCGCAGCCAGCCTCAGGAACGCACAACTGTGTGTGATGCGCCGCCAGTCCACCCCACTGCCGTTTTTTTAATCCCAAGAACTTTTTCAAAGTTTCCTGTGATATCCTGATACAAGATTCAGTCCAGTTTTTTTTAATCAATAGAATAGTTTAATTGGAACATAAAGATGAAGTAAATATTTTCTTAGTAACATGCCGCTTTTTGAATTTGTAAATGCCTTCACGTTATTACATTAGAGGCTGCAGTGAGCTGAGCATATTGCCTCTCTATTGCATCAGTCCAAAGCAATGCGTGATAGCTACAAACGCAAGGCATCAGGATCTTATTTTTTAAACGGGCACTCACCGTGTATCCCAAGCTGGCCTCCAGTTCATGACCCTCCGGCTTCACCCAACTCACTGCCTGACTTATCAAATATAGGCATTCCAGCTTAAGGGTAACTTCACTTATGGGAAATTCAGTTTGTACTAAAACAGAGCAAAAGTGCTATAAATAAGTGAAAGTTCTTATCAAAGATGACCATAAAATGTTGTCATGTCCCTGGTATCATGTACAAACCTTAAGGGCCAGGGTTGGTTATTTATTGCTGTGTTGGTTGGTCTCACACGAAATCAGTAGTCCACTATCCACAAATACCCTTCCTCTTATGCAAGTTATTGTGGAACCTCCAAGGGTCTCACAAAACTTTCAGAATGTCCCTGATGACCCTTCTAGATTTGTTGAGAGTACTCGAACCATATCAAACCAATGTCAAAGACAAGATTATTGATAACTGAAAATAATGGGAAGTTGACGAGGGATTAAATGTTAAGAAAGGAAAAAATGGCCTTGAAAATCGTAGATACTGATCTGGTCAGTGGTATAATACTCTTTTAATCCCAGCAAGTGGAAGACAGATGCTGTCAGATCTCTGTGAGTTCAAGGCCAGTTTGGTCTACAGAGTGAGTTCCAGGACAGCCAAAGCTACACAGAGAAAAATCTACCCTGTCTTGAAAAAGCAACAAAAAAAGAAACAAAAAAAATAGTAAACACTAATGTTTACTAGAAGTTAAGGAAAACCTTTTCACTTTTCACTTATTGAGTTTTATTTTGATATTTACAGACTACGTCTCTGTGTCTGTACTTCTCAAATAGTTCTCTTTTTCTTCATGAAGCTTACCTTAATGGACTAAGATGCAATGTTGGTTAACCTGTATGAGAGGCTAAATAGACCAGGTAAAATACTTAGTAGTTACCCATAAAATAATACTCTACAGTTGTTTGATAGAAGTCATTGTCAAATGTGGCTCTAGCAAAATTACTTCTTATGGAAAAGGAGAAAAGAAAACTAAGTTGGGAATAGAATATTACACTATTTAAAAGAGTTTAGATAAAACCCAGAGTGAATTGATAGCTTTTGCCATCACTTTTCTATTACTTTTCCAGAAAGCATAATATATTATTAGGATAGTCAAACATATAAGACAATTAGCTACTTGCATTTCATTATAACCACCACTTAAAGACTAAAAACCTATCAAAAAGCCGGGCGTTGGTGGCTCACGCCTTTAATCCCAGCACTCGGGAGGCAGAGGCAGGAGGATCTCTGTGAGTTCTAGGCCAGCCTGGTTTACAGAGTGAGTCCAGGACAGCCCCCAAAGCAATACAGAGAAACCCTGTCTCAAAAAACCAATAAATAAATAAATAAACAGACTAAAAACCTATCAATGTATTCTATCTAAAACCTTATTATGTATTAGTAAGCATTTGAGCATATTTGGACACTTCTCTTGGCAATCACATGGACTATATTTTCTGCATCCATAGTTTAACCTTGATTCTGTCCTTGCGTCACCATGAAAAACATTGTATCTACAGTTTGGTATGACTGTCCAGCGTCTATGTTAGTACTTAATATGTAGTATTAGGATCAGAAGTGTTACTTTAGGAAAGGAAGGAGTAAGAAGAATGGTTTTCTCAAAGGAGAGTAAGAATTTCCAGTTGCTTATCAATGAGTCCTACAAATAAAAACAAAAATTTAGCTTATCTGAAACGTGCTTGTTATGTGATCTGCCCCCAAGCATGCTGATTCTCCTTCTATTTCCCATGCCTTGCATAAAGCCATGATGTCTACTTTCTCCTTTAATTCTGACCTTGAATCACTTAGGTTGGCCTCTGATCTTTTGTTATTATTGTGTTAGTCTTCATCATTTCTCCTCTGTAGTAGAGGATTACCTGTTGTAATACACTTTAACCACTGATCTCTTTGCCTTGATGTCTCACACTTTCCAAACATCATGTTGCCACCAATTATTTAGTATAGCACAGATTAGTAAGGAGGCCACTCCTCTTACCAAAACATGAAACTCTCCAGGTCTATACTTTTGTCAGGGTGGAATACAGGACTGACTGTTCACATACAAATCCCTGGTGGCTTGGCCAGTCACGTGGTCTGTCCTTTGGACTACATTTCTCCTAATGTTGTAGTTAAATTAGGTTTCCATTTTCTATATAAAATTTCCCACTTCTGTGACATTTTTAAGGCTTTCGCTTCTTTCTCTACTTTTGCTGAATAAACTCCTTTCTTTCTGAAGACCCAGTTTAAGGGGCCTAGAGCCTTCCTTGACCCCTGTTCCTCTTCTGCAGTAGGAGAAAGTTGTCTCCTATTTATTTTCTTAGAATTTTATACAAGCTTTTCTTAGTTTATTATTATATCTCTGATGGGCGATCCCCACTGTCAGCTTGCCTAGATTTGTATCCCCTGGGTAGCACACCTGTGGGTATGTCTGTAAGGTTTTTTTTTAGAAAGTGCTAACTGAGGAGGGAGAATCTACCCTAAATGTTGGCAGCTTCAGCCCAGGATACTAGACAAGTGACCTGTGCCCCAGCTTTTATCATTGTACTCCCTGACTGGAGATGCCTGTACACCAAGCCATGAGCTGTGAACCCTTCCTCCATTTGATTTATTTCTTAAATCAGCCCCTTTCTTCAGTCTTCTCCCCCTCTATTATTCTTGGGAAGTCTCATACCTTGAATTCTCTAGGTAGTAGAGGATGAATTTGAACTTCTGAACTTTGCCTCTGGCTCCAGATTGCTAGGATTGCAGACGTGTGCCATTGTATCACGTGCATGCTTAAGTTGCTTTTCTCAGGTATTTAGTTATAGCAACAAGGAAAGTAATTAAAGCAGTATCAAAATGATTTATATCCATATTTATGTAAACACCTAAAATCTATTTTTCTGGGGTATTGTAATTGGAAGATGGTATTCATGTAATTGTTTATTAAAAATTACTGTCTTTTACTACATAGCTAATAATATGTAGGTATTTGATTCTCATATCATATTGATACATATTGTTGTTGGCTGTAAAGGAGGTAAGAAACTTCAGTATGTATCTGACTTGCTATTTTTCCAGAGCCTTGCATAAGGCCTGGCATGTTTATATATGGTAAATTCCAATTAAATAATTATTTAGTGTGTGCTCCATTCTTCCTTTTTCTGTCCCAACTATCACTCCTTGAGAAGAATTTTTTTTCTGTCTTTGTTTCACTCTGACACATGTATCTTGAATTCAGGAGATGCAGTCTCAAGACATGTTTTAGCATTTTAAACCATTTTCAGGCAATTTATACTTTCTAGATGATATTTATTTACTGCTTACACTATTTGGTACAATAAAATGCTACAAGGAAATGTTAAACGATTTTGATGTGATTTAAAAAAATCAGCAGCTGGGATGCGGTGGGCTGTTTTCCTTTTTTTTTTTTTATTTTTAACTCATGGTAGTTGAACATTTGAGTAATTTTCCATCCCCAGGACTCACACAATGGAAGGAGGGATCCAACTTCATAAGTTGGCCACTGACTTCCACATGTGTGCAGTGTGCAGCCCATCACCTCCACCAAATAGAACCCCCAAAATAAAATTGTTTATTCTTATTTAATATATGGGAAACATCAAATGTGTAAATGATAGAAACTGGGTTGTGTATGAAGAATGTGAATAAGCCAGGATTACCAACTCCAAGGTCAGAGAAGAGCAAGCCTATTTCATAAGCAGGTACTAGTGTTCTAGGCTCTGCAACTTTGTTATGACTACTGTTTTATGGGGGGTATTTATAAAACTGGATCCAGTTCAGTTGCCCAGTTAAGGACAGATCTGTTAATGCTGCCCTGTTTTCATTCTCTGAATGCATACTTAATGGAGTCTTACTTTATTAGTTGTGTAAGATGACTAGTCTAAATGCTGTAGTAAGTCTAAAGTCAAATCAGAGACGAATTTTGCACTCAGGAGACTTGCTCAGTCCCCAAGCCGGAGAAGTCCTCAGCAGTAGTGATCCTGTCTGATGCCCTTTGACCCTGCCCCTAGAGCCAAGCCATGATAGAGCACTTGTAGAGTCTTTGCTTTCTCAAGGACAGGTTAGTGAGGAGCTGAGCCAGTGGAATGAGAGGCTTTCCTTGAGTTCAGACCCATCGTTTCTAGTTTAGAAAATCGAAATGTCTATAGAAAAGTGAGTGAGTGAGTGAGCCAGTCTGAGCAAGGGGGAGAAAGAGTTAACTGACTTCATTTAGACTTTCCTTCTCAATTGGAGAAGTCTT